GGCAAGTGCACAGGCCCTCCAATTTTAAAAAGTTGTAGACATCTGGGACCAGCAGTTGGTGTAATGGCTATGTCACTGGACTGCTATGTAGTCGACTGCAGTTCGAGTCCCAGACCCGGTGGCTTAAACTCACGCTGGGGACGTGTATATTGTGTGACCAAGATCTTGAGAGGAGAATGGAGAAGGGATTGCAGCATGGCCATCCCCCCTGGGGGGTGATTTCTTGCTTTCTGTCTCTCTGTCTCTCTCTGTCTGGTGAGCACACACACCCTATAGCAAAAACCTCTCCAAAAAAATAAATACATAAATAAATAAAATTGTAGACATCACTAAAAAGAAGACAATGAAGGGCCAGCAGGTGGCATGGTAGTTAAGGTGCTGGATCCCACATAGCTGACTCCACTGTTCTAGTTCTGGACCAAGCAGCTTGAAAATCATGCCAGGTACGTGTGCATGTGTGCCCAAAATCCTGAGAGGAGAATGGAGGAGAAGGATTCAGATGTGGCCATCTCACCGGGGGGAGGGGGTTTCCCACTCTCTCATTCTGTCTCCAGGGAGCATACACATAATAGATAAACATAGGTAAGTAGATGACAGATATCTAGATAGATAGATGAGTAGGAAGGACTTTAAAAGGCATAAGCCCGTATAAAAGACTATGGGTAGATACAAATAGTCAGAACAGAAGAGATAGAGATGAAAAGAAAAGTGTTTAAAAACAGGAACTGGTAAAAGAATGGAAGGCAGGCATGTAAGGTAGGAATAAAGTAGGGTACAGAATGGAGTGATCAAAGACATAGAAAAAGGTAGTAAAGAAGGAAGCAGAGAAGGAAAGAAGGAGGCAAAGTAGGAAGGAAGGAGTGTAAAGACAGAGAAGTTCCATGTGATGAGTCTGTAGGCTAAAATAATTTTTTTAAAAAAGAGCGAATGAGCGACAGACAGAAGAACTTGAGAAGTAGGGAATAGTCAGAATATTAAGTGCAAATGTTGACAAAGGGTAGGGCCAATTCCATGGCCTGGTGGTTAAGGCAGCCAGATCTCATATGACTGACCCCATAGGTAGAGGCCCGGACTCAGACCCAGCAGTTTGATGAGCAGGCCTAAATCCTGACAGGGTGGGGATACGGAAAAGGAAAGATTGCATCATCACCATCCCCCATAGAGAATTCCCCATTTCTCTCTGGCAAGCACACGCTCCCTCTGGCAAAGTTTTGTTTTGTTTTTTTTAGGTTTTTGCTATAGGACATGTATGCTTGCTGGAAGGAGACAGAGAGAGACAGAGAGAGGAAAAGTGAGAAATCACCCTCCAAGGGGGATGGCCGTGCCACAATCCCTTCTCCTCCATTCTCTTCTCGGAATTTGGGCATGCATACACACACACTCACACACACACACACACACACACACACACACACACACACACATGCCTGGTGTAATTTTCAAGCTTCCAGGTCCAGGACTCAAACTATAGTCAGCCACATGGGAGTCCAGTACGTTAACCACCATGCCACCCACTATCCCCTCTGGCAAAGCCTTTCTAAGGAAAGGAAGATACATTTAAAAAGAAGTCAGTTGGGGACCAGCAGGTGGCGTGGTGGTTAAGGTGCTAGACACTCCCACATGGCCGAGCAGGGTTCAAGTCCTGAATATGGTGGCTTGCATTCTCACTTCCTCTCTATCTCACTCTCACCCTCTGTCTCTTTCTGGTCAAATTAAAAAATAAGTGAATGAATAAATAAAATACAATAAATAATTATTTTTTAAAAAAAGAAGTCAGTTAAAATATTACAGTAAAATAAGATAGAGGGTGACAGTGGTGCTGCAATGAAATGCATCCCTCTGTAAGCCTGACCCACAAGGGAGGGTTAGCAGTTCACCTATGGAGACCTTCCTAAATATGTGCCTATGATCCAGGCCTCACTAACCTGCGAGTGGATTGCAGCAACAAAACCCTATGGTGGATGCTGAATTTCTGTCTCTGTCTCTCTATTTCATGGAATAAGAAAAAAGATAGATTGATGACAGCTAGATGAGAAGGCGGGAGATAGGAAAAAATTGATTTGAAAAAGGAGAACTCCATTAAAGTCAGTACATAAAAGATAGAAAGGTAGAAAGAGAAAGAAGAAAAAAAAAGTAATGGACCAGTAAATAATAACAGAGGAACATAGGATAAGATAGGATGGGAAGAAGGAGTAAAAGCAGAAATAGGGAGAAAGGGAGGGAGGAAAGAAGGACGGGAGAGATATATACAGAGGAGACATAGAACTAAATAAAGAGAGTGAGAAAAAGACAGAAAGGCCAGGAAAGAATGAAGGTAGAAAGGAGTAAGAAATGATGAAAGGAATAAGGGGAAGATGTTTCAAAGGGACTAGTAAAATAAATAGGGCAAAGTAAGAAAAATTTCATAAGCAGGAAGGGGCTAGTAAAAATAAAATACAAAAAAATATAAAAGGAGAAAGAGAAAGATTAGGATAGAGAAAATCAAGTAAAAACTTTAAAGTTAATAAGGCTGTACACAAAAGAGAAAAAATTACCAAAAATGCAAGTGAGTGTTAGAAAGAAGAAGAAAATGACAGGGGAAGGGAGAACGAAGATGTTTAACAAGAAGAGTCAAAAAAAATGACAAAAGCAAGAGAAAAAGAAAACAGAATAGATTCTAAAAAGAGGAACCAATAAAGGAAATATAGTGCACAATAAGAGAAAATTAGGTGAGTCCGAGAAAGAGGAAAGAAAGGCAACAGAGAAAGAAAGAAAAACACATAAGGAGAGCAGAAAAGTAGTTTTAAATAAGAGTATATGTTCAAGAGAAAGTGTAAAAAAGAGTGTAGACAACATAAGAGGAAAAAGAAAGGCAAATATTTCTTTCTCTTTTTTTTTTTGAGAGGTTTTCGCTATAGGGCACGTGCACTC